TATAACCGCCGCTTTAACCGCACTCCCAAATTTTACGACCTGAAACTCCGGCTATAGTTTTGGGCGATATAGTATGGCACTTACACCAGATAGGCTCTTTTCCCCTCGCTACTCGTTCAGGCAAATCCACGCTACCCATTTTTCACCCAACTAAAAGCCAATTCGCACAAATATTACAGGAGAAACAAACATAAAAAAGAACTTGTTCTTATCTCTTCGTCCCGTCTCGTACTCGCGCAGACAAAGCACACGTAATGAAAGTTTGTGTGTGTGTGTGTGTGTGTGTGTGTGTGTGTGTGTGTGTGTGTGTGTGTGTGTGTGTGTGTGTGTGTGTGTGTGTGTGTGTGTGTGTGACGCGACCACTGTTTGTTTGTGTATGTGTGTGTGTGTGGGGGGGGGGGGGGGAGGACCCTTTAGACACTCGTACCGCCGACTTAACCTCACAGATGGGGGGGTGGGGGGGGGATAACAAAGCAGAATAGGGCCCTTCCTTACGCTGGCATCCGAAGCTTCCCTCTCGGTTCCCCTTCCCCCCTTCGGGCTTCCCTTCCCTCCGTCGGGATGGCGTACCTGCTGCCCCTCTCTGGCCCATCAATCACGCTCCCTTCTCTTTCTACCTCCCCCCCTCCCCACATCTTTCCTTTCATTCTTTTCGTCCCCTCTCTTCCTTTTCCTTCCTTCTCTTCCTTTCCTTCCCTCCTTTCCTCTCTTCCTTTTCTTCTCTCCTTCCCTCTCTTCTTTCCCCTCCTTCCCTCTCTTCTTTCCCCTCCTTCCCTCTCTTCTTTCCCCTCCTTCCTCCCTTCTTTCCCAATGACTCTCCCTATCCTCCTTCTCCCTCCTTCCCTCCCTCTGATTCCGCCCCCCCCTCTCCTTCCTTCTCTCCCTCCTTCTCCCCTCGTTCCCTCCTCTCCTCTCCCCTCTTTCCCTCCCTCCTCACCCCCTATCCCCTACATCCTCTCTACCAGCAGCTCCTGTTAAAAATAATCATACGCGTTCAGCATCCTGGGTCCTAAAAGATCGCGCAATGAGGTCGATCGCTTCGGTCACATCGCGGACAAGTATTAAAAGTACTAAAATCGCGAAGTGTTAAAATCGCTAAGTACTAAAGTCGAGAAGTGTTAAAATCGCGAAGTGTTAAAATCGCGAAGTGTTAAAATCGCGAAGTGTTAAAATCTCGAAGTGTTAAAATCGGTGTACTTCAAGGCTAGAAGCGGGAGAGTGTGATGGTATCGGGAGATAAAAGAAGAAGAGAAATAGATATATACCTCTAAATCTTTGTTTGTTTGTGGTATGGTGTGTGTTTTTTGTGTTGTGTTGTGTTGTGTTGTGTGTGTGTGTGTGCGTGTGCGTGTGCGTGTGCGTGTGCGTGTGTGTGTGCGTGCGCGCGTGCGTCTCATGTCCCACGTCTGAAAAATACGCATCGCCGCCTATAAATACCACATATTTACACTTCATCCACTCGACAACAACAACAAAAACTTCAACACCTTAATCTAGGGACACTTAAATCAACTAATCATTGTATCAGGAGACTCTACCCTTCCTACAATTCCTCTAATTAACATAGCGACGCCCAACCGCCCACAGTCGCGTCGAACTCAATCTATTCCAGCGCGATCAACGGTACACGGCAACTGGGGTCCCGTGAAATTAACCCTTTGCTTATACCCCCAAACTTAGACCCAGTATATATAATCGGGTGTGTGTTTGCGTGCGCTGTGAGGGAGGGAGGGAGGGAGGGAGGGGGGGAGAGGGTGTGTGTGTGTGTGTGTGTGTGTGTGTGTGTGTGTGTGTGTGTGTGTGTGTGTGTGTGTGTGTGTGTGTGTGTGTGTGTGTGTGTGTGTGGTGGGGGGGTGTATGGTGTGAGGGTTGGTCTGTGTGGTGTGGGTGGGGGGTGTTGTGACGGATAGATGGATACATAGATAGATAAAGAGAGAAAGAGAGAAAGAGAGAAGAGAGAGAGAGAGAGAGAGAGAGAGAGAGAGAGAGAGAGAGAGAGAGAGAGAGAGAGAGAGAGAGAGAGAGAGAGAGAGAGAGAGAGAGAGAAAGACAACTATATTTTTTTCTGTGCGGGGAACGATATATCCAACCTAAAAAAAAAAAGTAAGAAATATATACAAACACAATAATGACGCAAGCAAACAAGATATATATATATAACAAGGGTAATTAGACAAGGCAAATAAACGAACTGCCTGAAGAAGGGCTGGAATAATGTAACTCCAAAAACTTAACGTAAGAGACTAGGCCAAAGACAGTGAGCAAGCGGACGATAAAATAATAATAATAATGATAAAATTATAGAATAAAAAATGATGGAGATGGAAACAGGAGGAGGAGGAGGAGGAGGAGGAGGAAAAGAAGAAGGAGGAGAAAGAGGAAAAAAAGGAAAAAAGCAGGAGGAGAAGAAGCAGGAGGAGGAGGAAGAGGAAAAAAAACAGGAGGAGAAACAGGAGGAGGAGGAGGAGGAGGAGGAGGAGGAGGAGGAGGAGGAGGAGGAGGAGGAGGAGGAGGAGGAGGAGAAGGAGGAGGAAGAGCAGGAGGAGGAGGAGGAGGAGGAGAAGCAGGAGGAGGAGGACGAGGAGGAGGAGGAGATGAAGGAGAAGAAAAGGAAAATAACCATCCAAACTCCGAGCTTTGAAAGGCACTAGATCGAGGCGCTCAAGAACCGGCCAATTATCAGTCGACAAAAATCAAGAAGCTTTCTTGTTATCCAACCGCCATACCCCCGCCTACGATCCGTCCCCTGGTGTGCGGCTAAGGAAATATGGACCTTACCGACCCCTAGACATAAGGGCTGTAATTGGTCGCGTCCCCCTCTTCCAACATAACAGGTACCTTTAGCCTATAAATCTTAGGAAGTAATGTTTACGATATTTTTTCGTCGCCGATGATTACGCACGGTCACAATCACGGGAGGAAGACGCTTTTCGCAACATATAGGCCTAATGGACGTTCAGAAAGAAGTTCACGGTGTCCGCGAGCAGGCCGTTTCACTTCCGCTGTCGATGGCACTTTCCGGATCCGTTCGGGGGTGGGGGAGGGGGTGTATGGCACCACCCTTGGCCTCCTTTAAAGGTCGTGTGACACTTTGTCTCCTCCGGGTGATCGTGTGACACATTGACACCTGATTATGCGACACTCTGACACCTGGTCTCTCTCGGGCGACGCAATAAAGCTTGAAGCATGGGTGTGGGGGAAAGGGGGGTTCACTCCAAGCAGAAATTATATATAAAGATATTAACATTTCTTTTTAAGTCATTAATATTCTACATATTCTCACATAACAAATAATATATATATAAACTCTCTTAATAAAATTATTACTGTATCGAAAAATATACAGGGTAATATACTTGTTTTTTTCTCTTTTTTTTGTTTTGTTTTCATTCTTTCTTATTGTTTAAGGTGGATTTCTTTTTTTTTCCTTAAACCTACAAATGTACAAGGCAGCGAGGCGAGCGAAGAACCGCCGCTCACATGACGGGGAAAGTCGAGTAGTATCTGAGAATGAGCGTTGTGACGATCGACGCGACGGCCGAGAGTACCCTGTCAGCCGGCCTCGCTGTCACGGCCTGGTTGTTGTCGTCGACTTCGAGTACCGGCTGGGTTCGGCGCGCCTCCGAGTCGGTGTCCTTGGAGAGCGACTTGGACTCCGGGTGCCACGCCGTCTCCTGCAGGATCACGGCTTCTGTGGGCGGCTCTGTGGGAGGCTCTGTGGTCGGCTCCGGGGTGGTGGTCGTGGGAGGCGGCGTGGTGGTGGTGGTAGTGGTTGTGGTCGTTGTGGTGGTGGTCGTGGTGGTCGTTGTGGTGGTGGTCGTGGTCGTGGTGGTCAGTTCGTACAACAGATCGGCGGATTCGGGGAGGTCGATGTCGGTGCCGTTGTGGATGTAGTAGTAGCGTCTGTAGTTGGCCGTGACGCCCACCAGCGCCTCGTGGGTGTGCAGGGAGACGATGCCTCGCTTGTGGCTGCTCCCGTCGGCGTAGAAGGCGGTGAGAGTGCCACTGTAGGGCGCCTCGTAGTGCCTCATCGTGCCTTCCAAGTCGACTTCGACGCCAACGCCGGCAGGGAGTTCGTGGACCAGCATCTGGGTATCGACTCGGCCCAGCTGGTTGTCAATGCCCCACATGAGCTCGACGGGCGCGTTGGGCGAGGGCATGGCGATGGGGGCGTCCTCGGGGGAGGTCACGGTGGACGACAGCGCCGTGACCGTGCCCTTCACGCGGCCCCAGTACTGCCTCTCCCGGACGTCGATGGTCACCAGGCGCGACGCGTTCACGGCCTCCTCCCCCGTGTTTTCGAGCGTGACCTTCTTCAGGTGGACCCGGCTGTCGTTGATGGTCTGGTGGGAAGCGTCGAGGACGATGTCGTTGAGCGAATACCTGGCCGGCTCCTCCTCGACCAGGATGTACGCCTTCTCCACCCTGCGGATGCTGTCCCCGTCCAGAAGGAAGGCCCGCCGGTCCCTGCGGCCGGGCCCCACGTGCCCGGGCATTAGAGGGGCGTCGGGGGAGGTGTCGAAGGCCAGCATCAGGTCAGGGGACAGCACGGCGTTATCGGGCTTGGCGGTGTACTTGTCCCACGGCTTCAGATGGAGTCGGGCGGAGCCATTAATCGAGACGAGGACGTCGTACTTGTCCAGCTTGAAGATCCGCTTCAGGAAGGGGATGGTGCACACGCCGTCGTCCCTCAGCACCCCCGGGACCTGGAGGGCGCGGTGCCTCGCCCTACACCAATGGGGGCCGTCGGGGCTGGACGGGTCGACGGGCACTGCCTCCTCGGGGATCTTGTCGGCGCCCGTGACCCACGCCAGGGTCGAGGACGTGATCTTGGACGTGCCTGACGCCCCCCAAAGCATCACCATGTCCACCGCCGCCAGGCACGAGCCGGACAGGGCCGCTAGGGCTAACAACCTGAAAAGAAAAACAAAAGCACCTTTAATGACGATCTACGAGTTGTCAAGTGTTGTTTTTTATTTCCCTACATGGTTGGGTCTCCCATTCGGTAGATTAGCATGCCTTACATAAGGAGAGAGAACGTGTAACTAGATAACTCAGTAACTGTAAGTTAGCCACCGATAAGGAGAAAAAAGAATAACACATACACAACCAAATCACATCATATAAAGATAGAAACCAACACTAACCCTATCATCATCACCTATTCTTAATTTTAGAGTATTAGAACCTAAAAGGAAGAGAGTTTGACATCTCTAATGATCTATTTCAAAACCCAGCCCTCTTCCCCATCAGCGATAACATCACTCTTTTCCTTCCCTCTCCCCTTCACCCTCGCCTCTCAGGATCCCTCACCCTTCCCCCTTCCTTCCCCTTTCTCCCACGCCCTCACGACACCCTTCTTCTCATTCATCTTCATCGTCAACCCTTCTTCCCGTGTCTCTTCTCCATTGCGTTCTTCCCCTTTCGTGCTTATCTCTTCTTTAATCTTCTAAAACTTTTCCTTTAATACTTTCGCTTCGAACATTTTTATTTCTATTTTCTTTTATTTCTATTTATATCTCTGATTCTCCATGCTGGTTTTTCTTCTTCTTTCTTTATATCTTTCTTTATTTCAAGTTCATTTCCTCAGTCATATTCACGCATATCCGAATATTTTTTTTTACCCAGATTATAAAACCCCATCTGAAGTTCCATCCCACTGAACAATCAAGTTTTGTTCCCCAACTTGCCTTTCCCATAAAATAATTTCCCTTTTAACGTATTCACGCAGCTTTAAGATGACGTCCCCTTTAATAAACCGTATAATCGAGGCGACACGTTCACACGCCCAGTCGAAAACCGTGTCCACCGAAGCGCCAGCCTTAAACCAACGGAAGCTCGCGTTACACGGCCACCACCCCTTTGGCACTCCGGGCATCTCGCAGCATCCTGGGGGGAAGCGGAGGCGGTAATTAGCAGCTCAGGGTCATGGGGACGCGGCTGTAAGGTGAGCCCAGGTGTGCGCCTCCGCCCTGACACCCCCGTCCATCCATCATCAGCATCCACGCGAGGAACTGCCTGACGCCGGACAAGCGCCCATCAAGCCGTATGCCCCGGCCGGAACTCGCCATTACGGGGTGACGTCAGGTGCATGAATTCCGGTTAATGGAATTGTCTGAGAATGACGGCGGAGAGAGCCAAGAAACGTGGGCGTGTAGTCTATGTAGTCTATGTATGTACGTAGGCGTGTTTATGTATCTACACACAAGCATATATTGTATATACATAGACTTGATATATATGCATACATATATATAGATATAGACATAAATACATACGTATATGCATACATTCATACATGTGTGTGTGTGTACACACACACACACACACACACACACACACACACACACACACACACACACACACATATATATATAAATACATATATATACATATAAATATATCATATACTACACACACATACATATATACAGACAGATAAATAGATATATATAGATATAACTAAATAAACACACACATATACATACAGAGAGAGAGAGAGTCGACGTAAATAATAACAATAGTATCTCAAGAGTTCCCAAACCATTTATAGAAGTAATGAATAACCTAATGTACCGTGGAGAAACTTACGAAAACAAACTCAATACTTATAAAAAGTCTTCCATTTATTTATATGACCTACAATAGCTTTAAGGGAGGAAAGTCGAGTCATAAGAGCCGCTAGCTCAAAGACGTGTATGTACCCGATGACAGCAAGTGACGCACTGACGAAAATGGACAAAGTTTGGAGGAGGATAACGTACACATTCGAAAATGAGGAAAATTTGTTTAAAAAAAGGATGGTGGGGACGTTAGTAATGATAACCGTATTCTAAAAAATGAATAAATAAAAAATAAAAATAAAAATCTTATGAGAGGAATGGTTTATGTTAACGGTTAAGCCAAATAAAGGTTTTAGACATCAAAAGTCATACAGAACTATAGTAAAGTATTGTGGCGAAAAGGCTAAAAATGAGTTAACGATTAGGATAAGTGAATAGAAGAAGGGGATGAAGAGAAGGAGAAAGGAAAGGAGAAGAAAAGGGTAAAAATGAGTTAACGATTAGGATAAATGAATAGAAGAAGGGGATGAAGAGAAGGAAAGAGGCAAGGAAAGGAGAAGAAAAGACCATTTAGTTGAGGCGAGGGCTGAGATCCAAGTCCCCCCCCTCCCTCCCCCCACGACAACAACGAGCAAGGGATTCGGAATGGGGGGGGAGGGGATTATGAAAGGAAGATATGCAAAGATAAAGAGAGATTATTGACGATACCTATTCGAATGTCTGAGACGAACGTAAATGTTTTAAACACACAATATCTCGAAGCTGCGTTTTGTTTCATATCAATTTTCCTTTAGTCCAATTTAGGTTTCTTCATACTTTTCGGAACACAACTAATCTTGTTACTTTGATTATATTACCTTATCAAGTTCCTCTTTTGTTTTTTATAAACATCATAATCATAATACTGTATCTTCCACCATAACTCACTTATTTCCAT